AAAAAAAAAAAAAAAAAAAAAAAAAAAAAAGTAACAGATATAGACGGTCCTCGTTCACGATAAACAATCAATCGGGCTAATTCTTCGATGCCTGGAATCGCAAATTCAACGCGTCGATTTTATCGTCGAGTCGGCGAAATAAGCCGCGCAACACGATCTCGGTTTTCTCGCGATCTTCATCGTTTCGGAACGTCGCTATCTTCCGCGCAAACGATCCACAACGCGAGCATTAAGTACAACGCGATCCTGTTCAAGTCCGTTGCAACGATTCTCTTCGAACATCACTACATTTTTTCGGCTCTTTTTACCATCTGCTGTCCAAATTACATTTTTCCATCGGCGCCGAGGCGATACCGGCGGTGGACGTCTTGCGTTCCGCGCCAGGAGCGGCGCTTCCGCAGAACGGACTGGTTCGTTTGTTCATTTCTGAAAAGGAAACGGAGCGAATCGAGTCATTAACCGTCGCGCGAAACAAGAGAGAGAGAGAGAGAGAGAGAGAGAGAGAGATAAGAAAAAAGAAAGAATGAACTTTGAGCATGAAACGCGATCCAGCTTACGTACCAGCGATCAACAGCATTATTTTGCGCCTCGCGCCCCAAGCGGATATCCCCATTTCGCAGAGATCTTTCTCCGTTAGCGAGGGAAACGTAGCCATGTCCACTTCGTGAGACGTGAACAGGCCTAGCAAACAGAAAACGAGCAACGTGGGTCGGGGACGGATAGGCAAAAGCGAAGGAACGTCGTGGTGACGCGTTATAACGATTTCACTCACGAATATATTTCTCCAGTCCGACGTTGGTCAACATGCTGGTCAAGTCGTCGTAGCGATGAGACGTAATCCTGTTCAGATGCGAAGTAGGCGTGTGTTCCACGTAGTTGGAGGTCACGCCGATCTGTCCAACGCGATCTTTGCCGGAACCGATTCCGAAGTCGACCTCTTTGCCGAAAACCGGCGTCGTTGGTTCCTTCCACGGGTCGGAAGGATGAGAAGCGGTCGTCAGCTCCTGTAAACGAGACGCGAATGTAACGTTCGTAGAGTATTCGTTTACGACGCGAGCGGAGCAGCTCACTTTGTTCAAGTCGGTCGTGCCGATCGGAGGAATGGATTGACTGAGACCGTAACCGGACCAAGCGGACGTGGGAACGCGATACTCGTTGAAGCTCGGTTTCGATTGAATCGCTTTCGCCGCCAATATCTTCTTCTGTTCGTAATCGAACGGTGCAAAATTTTGCTGCACGGCCATTTCCAGCGACTTCTTTTCGCAACCTGGCGCGCGTCGATCGGCGACCGACAAATCGGACAGCATGCTGCACAGATCTGTAAGAGAGCAAACGCTCGTGTGACACGGGTCGTTTTAAGATGGTCGGTTAGGAAAAGGGCGACGATTCTTACCCAAATTGGGACTGGTCTCGACGGGATTGACCGGAGACACGTTACGCGGACTGATCGCTGGACTAGACAGAGAGCTGGATACGCTGCTCAACGAGGAGTAAGCTGCAATCGAGAATCGAACGATTAGGTAACGAAAGGAAACGGCGTTAGCGGCGATGATTCGAAACGAGACTTACTGCTGCCTTCTTTGCTGTCCGGTAAGGAGCTACCGTTCGGTCCGTGAATACCGTGAAAGCCCGCAGACGAGTTGGAGCGAAGTTGACCCATACCGGTGAACCCGTGGTTCGTCGATCCGTGAGAATGAGTCGGCATCGCGTTGTTGTACAACACGTGCTGCGTAGTCAGCAGATGATTAAGGTGCGGATACGGGTAAGCGTGATGAAGCGGAATCGACGAAAACATGGACGGTATCGTCGACAAGCCCCAATGAGGCGATAAACCCATCGGATTCGGCGAATGAGACATCGGGGACACGCAGTACGGAGGATTTTGCGTGTTTATCGTCAAGATGTTCGACAAGCTGTCCGATAGATTGCCGACCAGATTGTTGTTGGTAGCTGCGCGAGTGGTATCGTTACGATCGTTAAGCCTCGTGCACCGTGAAAAGAACGAAAACAACGAAAGAGGAAGAAAGGCGACGGAAGGAGACCTACCTGATCCGTTGCTGCCGTTTCCTTGAAAAACGTTCTCCGCGTTCGGGATATGATACGTGGCAGGTATCTCCGCGTGCACTCTTGGCTCGTCCAGTCCCAACAGCTGTTTTCTCGCCTCGTAAACGTTACTGGCGTTTCGTTCGATTCCCTTCACGATCACCGACAACGTGCTCTGCTTCGGTTTGTGCCTCACGTTTATGAACACGTCCAACGATCGCATCAGCTGCGAGATGTTTTCCGTGTCGACGCACGACACCGAGTCCTCGGGAAGGTCGAACATCAGAACCAGAGGCAGCGAGCCCTGTACGCGATCGAACGGAAATAGCGTGAAAATAGCGTGAAAATATCGTGAAAGTTACCATGAATATCATGAAACTTACCACCAACTGTTGCCGTGCCAGGTAGACGTTGTGAATGCCACCGGTGATAGTCACGTTGCTCTTCTTCAGGCTAGGAATATTTGGATCGCCGGCATCGGGGAACATTATTTGAGTACCGGTGCGCTGCATGATCATCTTGAGATTACTGCTCTGCTTTCCAAGGACGATGCTGTGATGCTGCGGCGATATCTCCATCGTCATTTGTACTTGTATTTGACTCTGAAACGACGAAACGCGCGTAACGAGGATCTACGCGCGAAACACGAGATACAGGTAGGTACGCTTACAGCTAGGTTTTGGCACATGTAGTGAATCAGCAAGACGGTCGCCTCCTTCACTTGAGACACTTCCCATTCGCAACCTTTCACCACTACCAGTGTAGCGTGCAATTTCGGTCTGGTGCGAAACATCACTTGAACGTTGTACTTCTCTTGGATCTTGATCATGTACGGCGAAGTGGAATCCGGCACGGTTTGCGACGAGCCCATGATCGGCAACTCGAACGAGAAGATCAGAGCCGTGAGATTCTGAAAGGGCCAAGAGAAATCGGACCGTAGATCGTGCACGTTCGAACGACGCGTTCCCGTCTTCGAACTTACCCTGATTCGAGCACGGGCACGTTCGACGCCCTCCATCTCCCCGGCGATCGACACCTGATTACTCTTCTCCTGATGATTGCTTCGATTACTGTCCGGGAAATGAATATGACATCCGGTTTCCTCCATCACCCGTTTGATCGTCAGACCACCCTTGCCTATGATGTGCGAATGATCGGTGTATCCAACTTCCAGCTTCATGGTTACTCTGTTGCTCTGCTGTAACGGAGAACGACGCGAACAACGCGTCGGTTCAGTACGATTCGAGGCGAACTCGCGGAACGTCCGCGACGCAACGGAACCGTTACATTCTCTCTCGTTATTTCGCTTACGCGAGACGCTCGTGATCCACCGATCGAGTCGTCGAATCGAGTCTATCCAGAGCGTTACGTAATAAAAGGTGCGCTCGCGATATCGCTCGGCGTTCCGCCTATGCAACTCGCCGCGACGAAGCGAACGCGTGCACGAATCGAACGGAATAGAGTCGCGGGTAGGTGAGCGGTCGTAATCGACGAAACGGCCAGACGGTAACGAACCGGTACGATCGGTTTTCTATCGTTTCCTTTTCGTAGCGAGCCGAGAAACGGTAGACGAAAAGAGAAAGAGAAGAGCAAGCTAGGAAGGAGCGATTCGCGCGAACGATGGACGTCGCGTCGGAGATAACGGTACGCGGCAAGCGAATCGGCCGATCGGTAAACGCGAGCCGGACGGGCTGAACGTCTCGCTTTCGTAGCGGAGAATTCGCGTATAAATAGAATAGCCTCTCGCAATGCGTGGTCGCGCGATCTAAACGTCTAAACGTCTAAACGTCTAAACGTCGAAACGTCGTGTCGGTGAACGTATCGAGTTTATATGATCGAACGGCGTGGCTCGACGAATCGTTGGTTGTTCCTCGATAAAAGACGAGCGGGCGAGCACGTAAGCGCGCCACGTAACGCATAATTTGTCGCGAGGCGAAAAGACCAGTTGTAGGAAATATCGATACCGCGATATCGATCGTTGTCTCGTATCGTTACGAAGACGGCGGTACGCGTGAAACGCTTTATCGACCGACTCGAGGAATTATCTTCGATAAAGAGTAGCGCAAAATGTTTGCGCGACACGCGGAGCCGATCAATTCGGTACGCTGAAAGTCGAAAGCCGATCGACGAGGTCACAGCTAATCTCGCTGTTCGCGGAATGACGTAACGTTTCGGTAAAAAGCAGCGAATCGGCTGCCCGTGACTCCGGTCGCTCGATCGCTACCTTATCTCTCCGTTTCTCTCTCGTGGATTCGCGGTTTTTTTTATCTTCCTTTGTTTAATCTTTCTCGCGAACGTTTCTCGCGATCCATCGGAACGAAAATGAGAACGGAGATCGGTGGAGAAAACAAGGAGAAAACGACGCGAAGAAAAAGAACGCGGTGACCGCTTACCCTCGTGTCCAAAATTTCCATTATCTTCTCCTTCGCAGCTCGCACGTCATCCGGTCGACCCGCGACCTTTATATGCGGATCTGTAAAACAACGAGCACACAAATTATGCAACGTCGCGACGATGCGTACTTTAATCTTTCGATTAGTAACGAGTAACGAGTACATCGAGGGAACGCGATCGACGGAGAAGCTCGCACGAGCGATTTAATATTCTTCGAGCGTGTCCTACTACTGTCTTTCGAGCGTCATTTCTTCCTGGCTACGGAAACGTTCGAAACTCGCGGACAATGACGCGTCCTCGCTGAAACGCAATTAATTATCGGTCGATTAGGTTCCGATTTCGCAATCGGAACGAGCGCGACGCGTCGCGTGGTCGCGAATAAAAAACGAAGAAACGGAAGCAGAAGCGAAGCTATTAATTCGAGTTCGGTGCACGAGTCGTACCGAATCGATCGAAAAAGCAGGAAATCGAACGTTGAAAAAGATTTCGTAATCGATCTCGAAGAAGGAAGGAAAGCGGCGAGGCAAGGTAAGGCGACTCGTTGCAGCTCGACTCGCTCTTTCTACCGCGTAAATATTTAGCGAGCGATTCCGCGAATTCGCCGCGCCTTTTATCGCCGCGATATCGCGAACGAATTTTCGGATCATGGCCGTATCGCGGAACGATCGACGCGTACCGTGAATTCGCGTAAAAATACCGAGACTAGGTAGAAAAACGGACGAGTACGTAGTCGGTTGCCAAGAGGAAAAAAACCTCGTCCCAATGAAAAGTTTCACCCAGAAATAGACAGAGTGCCACCTCCGCTAATATCCCCGTCGCGTTCTCTTTCGGCAAAGATAACGCGAAACGATCGACAGATTCGATCGCGAATACGAATCATCGAGTCCAAGCAGTACAGCCATTTTTGGCAGGCGCGATTCTCGGATACGCGATACCGACAAATTTCCTTCTTCGCCTCGAACTGTCGTCGCGTTGCTCGAATCGATGTCGGACATATCCAAGTTGGAAAAGATCGATATTCCTCGTTGTTGCTCGGTTACAGCACCGCCCACGGTACTCGTTTGTACGCGATACAAGCGATGCCGCGTACCGCGAAACAGCTTTCGTAACGCTGAAATTTCGCCAAATTTTCCTTCCCGTTTAATATCGAAATACCAAACATGTCCGTTCGTTCGTCGATTTTGGCTCGACCGTTCCGTGTTTGTCGCCGAAAATTGCGATCCCTCCTTCTCCGATGCACTTGGCATTTTTCGAGAGCGCGTTTATCGGTTGGTCGATCGGACAAACGAATCGAAACGAAACGGAACGGAGAGAAAATAACGCGGTAGAGCTCCGGTTCTTTACGACGCGATCGTAGAATTTTCTAATCGGACGCCGCTAAGCAGATATCACCCGTTGGCCTCGCGTCGTCCCGCGTGCAATCTTTCCAGCTGTGCACGGTACTTTTACGCTTTCGTCGAGTTAAACTCGAACGAGCAAAATGTCGCGAAAAGTCCGGAAGAAACAACGATCCAGCGATACGATGGGATCGAGCGAAGGTCGCGACCGACCTTCCAACGGTTTGCAGCGGAATAATTCCATCGTCGCGCGTCATCGCGGCTGACCCCGTGCACGAATCGCGACGAACACGCGTTGCTCGAACGAATCGGAAGCCGGTAATCGAACGATTCGCGCGTCCAAATAGATTCGTCGGAGAATGGCATTCGATGGTCAACGGTTGGCGTTCGACGGAAACGAAACGCGTCTCTCGCTCGAAAGGACAACACCGACAGGCGAACGAGTTTCGACTCGCGAACAAGGTAGAAAATCCGTGGGAGGTTAGACTCTCGGGAAACTATTTATACCCGATTACGCGCGACTCGTCACGCACAAACGATTCGTCGGTCGAAAGAGAAAGAGCGCGAAGGAAGCAAAAGCAATGGCAAATACGAAAGAAAAACCGAAAGAGAAGTCGAAAGAGAGAAGTCGTCGGCGGCGGCGGCGGCGACGGCGAA